AAATTATCTCCACTTTTGATTTATCTTTCAGTAAGGGGGTGTTCGAGGAGCCATTTTGGATGCTTATCGTTTTGAAAATGCCATTTCGAGTGTTTGGCAAACGGTTTTCTTGTTGATTTTCGGTGTCGGTCATCCGCATAATGGAGAAAGCAAGGACCAGGGGAGCAGGTGCGTTCCGCAACTTTTGCTCCCTTTCGGTTGCAGAATGCAATTGTTGCCCCTTTGAAAATATTGTAATCCCCTCCCATGTCCCCGATAATACCCTTTGATTCGCCTCTTCCCCAAACTTTTTCTCTTCTACTACGGTTTTAGGGCAAAACCCCGATCTCCTCCCCTCTGTCTATTTCGCTTTCGTCGCCTCTCTTCAACTCCCTTTGTATGTATAATTATTCCCATTCTCTATGTTGTGGTTATTTGATTTTGATGGTTTACTTTGTTACTTCTTTTATCTATGTGTTTCTCGGTTTACATGTTGATTGTTTGAGATGATTTAGATGTTTTGGTGGTTTTGGTACTTTGGTGGTATAACTCCTTTCTTTCTTAGTGTTTCTCGATTTATCTGTTTGAGGTATAAATACAAACTCTTTAATATTATTTTAAAAACTAAAAAGATGTATGAGGAGTGGAGGAAGAGTATTTTGGTCCCCATTTTTAAGAATAAAGGGGATGCACAAAAGTCGGCAAATTATAGAGGAATTATGTTGATGTGTCATACTTTAAAATTATAGGAGATGATAATTGAACATAGGTTAAGATGTATTACAAGGAATTCTCATAATCAATTTAGATTTATGCCGGACATGTCTACTATGGAAGCTATACATTTAATGAGAGGTTTGATAGAGAAGTTCAGAGATAATAATGAGAATCTATCTTTGATTTTTATTGATTTAGAAAAAGCTTACAATAAGGTTCCAAGAGATATTATTTGGAGAGTTCTTGAGAAGAAAGATGTTGATATGACCTATATTCAAATTATTAAAGATATATATACTAGAGCTGTTACTCGTGTTCAAACTGAAGGAGGATTGACCAAGTATTTTCCTATTTCTATTGGATTACATCAGGGATCGGCTTTAAGGCCATATTTTTTTGCTTTAGTTATGGATGTTATTACTGGGCATTTACAGTAGGATGTACCTTGGTGTATGCTTTTTGCTGATGATATCCTTCTCGTGGATAAAACAAGAGGAAAAGCCCGAGAAAAACTTGAATTATGGAGGTCTACATTGGAGTTTAAAGGCCTCATTTGTGTAGAACTGAAACTGAATGCATGAAATGTAATTTTAGTAGCAGCTCTAGTGACAGAAGTGTAACTTTGGGTGATCAAATTATAAAATGCGCGAACGATTTAGATATCTTGAGTCTGTTATTCAAAGCGATGTTGATATAGATGGGGATGTTAATAGTAGAATTCAAGTTGGTTGGTTGAAGTGGAGGAATGCTTTGGGCCTTTTTTGTGATAGAAAAGTACCGCTCAGACTGAAAAAAAAATTTTATAAAACGGGGGTGAGACCTGCAATGCTCTATGGCGCTGAATATTGGCCTTTAAAAGAGAAGCATAATGCTAAGTTAAGTGTTGTCGGATGAGAATGATTAGGTTGATAAGTTGCTTTACACTTAGAGACAAAATGCGAATTCAATATATTCGTGATACGGTTGGTGTAGCTTCTGGTAGCTCTAATGGTTGACAAAATTAGAAAGTCGTCTTAGATGGTTTGGTCACATTTAACGTCGACCATTTGATGATCCGATTAGGCGAGTAGATGTTTTAGATTCGAATGATGTTAAGAAAGGCAGAGGTAGACGTAGGAAGACTTGGGCTTATTGTATAAAAAATGATCTTAATTTA